CAGGGTTGAAAAGGCTTCCTAAAGCCTTTGGATTTGATTTTTCAGTTTATCATTTTAATTTTGGCAGGCCAAAGAGGGAGAAGAAGATGAAGAAATTAAGACTGTCATGGCCAAGCTCGAGTTTGCAGCTAAAAACGATGCAGAACTTAATAGAGAAGGGAAACCTGCCATTCATAAACTCGAAACATTGCCTCTTCTGAAGGATTCTTTATCAGAGTATGCTGTTTGTTCCTATGAACTATTTATACAGAGCAAAAAAAAAAAAAAAAAGGGGGAGAGAACTTTCGGTTATAAATATCGAACTGCTTTCGGTGCAGGAAGCATCTTCAACAAAAGTTTTTAGATCATGGAATATTGAGCCTACTAAGAACTTGGCTTGAAGATGGAAGTAAACAACAATGTGGAGAAGGAATGGTTTTTGCTATATTATTCACTGACTCAGTGTGTGTATATAACAATTACAAAGCTGATTCTAAGGAAACAAGTATGGTAACAAATATGCACAGGTGCTATGCTAAAAATAGACCATTGACTTATATTTACAATGAATGATTTAATGCCTTGAAAGATACGGTGAATCATGAATGGTTATTTGGTTTATCAGGAAGCTTACCAAATAGACCTATCCACAACGCAATTTTGAAGATTTTGATCAATGTATCACGAAGATTTTCTTTTCTTGTAATCGAAGTAAAGTACTAGTGTCGTCAACATTGTCTATGTTAGAGCTTGAAATTTGTTGTTGTTTGCAGTTTCCAATTGACCTGCAGCAGGAGGAGAGAAGAGAACAGATGAAGAAGAGTGGTCTCAAAAATGTTCGGTTTATCTCACAAGCCAACGATTGCATTTTAGTGTCGAAGTATCCAGATGATAGAAGCAACCAATTCGGGCGAATCTCGTTTTGCTTTTTATCTGCAGGCCGTTAAGTTTCTCTCTGAATGTGATGAGGAAACCATTTCCAATGGAAAGCTTTTGACCTATTTAAAATTTCTTATTCTTTGTTATCATTTTAGGCCACCAAGAATCATGAGTGGTTATTTGGTTTATCAGGAAGCTTACCAAATAGACCTATCCACAACGCAATTTGGAAGATTTTGATCAATGTATCACGAAGATTTTCTTTTCTTGTAATCGAAGTAAAGTACTAGTGTCGTCAACAATGTCTATGTTAGAGCTTGAAATTTGGTGTTGTTTGCAGTTTCCAATTGACCTGCAGCAGGAGGAGAGAAGAGAACAGATGAAGAAGAGTGGTCTCAAAAATGTTCGGTTTATCTCAGAAGCCAACGATTGCATTTTAGTATCAAAGTATCCAGATGATAGAAGCAACCAATTCGGGCGAATCTCGCTTTGCTTTTTATCTGCAGAGCGTTAAGTTTCTATCTGAATGTGATGAGGAAACCATTTCCAATGGAAAGCTTTTGACCTATTTAAAATTTCTTATTCTTTGTTATCATTTTAGGCCACCAAAAAAGAGTACGCTGAAGTGAAACCTAGACATGGTGTTCACGATTCAGACAAGTCCTCACCGTAAGATTTATGAGCGGAATTTCTTACTACATTACATGTTTTCCTCTGCTTGAGCATCTCAGCTTTTTGTTTGGTTTTTTTTTTTTTTTTTTTTTTTTTTTTTTTTTTTGGCACCTTACCATTTCCAGTTGAAGGAGGACCTTTTTTCACTAACCACAGTAGACACAATTCAGGTCAATCTTCGTCTAGACATGCTAATCGAAATTCAGACGACTTCACAAGGTAAGATGTGGCGAAATTTCTTACTACATTATCTGTTTTCCTCAGCTTGAGCATCTCAGCTTTGCTTTTTTTTTTTTTTTTTTTTTTTTTTCACTTGCCACAGGAGACACAATTCAGGCAAATCTTGGTCTACACATGGCGATTGCAATTCAGATGGCTTGTCACCGTAAGATGTGACGAAATTTCTTCCTGCACTTTGGCCTCTGCTTGAGCATCTCAGCAATATGTTTCATTTGGCCAAGCCAATTAACAAAATATTTTCTTCCTAAAATATTCCTATATTTGTATCTGATAACACAAAATTCTACGTAAAAATAATAAATAAATAAATAAAAAAACAAAACATATGCATTACGATAAAGTTTACATGATTGGTAAAACTACAAGACGTGATAAAGTTGAACATTGCATTTTATGGTTAGGGCTTTTGAAGCTTTTACCTTTGGACGTTGATAGGATTGATAAATTATCTCCTGATTTTTAATTGTTACAAATTGCCTTTTAAAATTGAATAAAATGTTGTAGAGTGTCCCGTAGTTGATGAATCATGTTAAAATTTGAAGATGAATGTCCTCATAATATGACATGACGTCTCCTAATATGACATGACGTGCTTTGATCGTCATTAAAAATTTAAGTATCTTCCTTCAACCGAGCTCATGTTGCATATACGAGGATAGTTCCTTTAAAATTTCAACAGTTGTGGACCATTTAGGGGCGCTTTGTTACACTTTATTGATTTTTTGAGAAAATACACTTTATTAATTTTAATAAGTAATTTATTAAAATTAAAAATGTAGAGGCTAACGTACCAACCGTAAAAGTTTGCGCAGTAGATGTGGTAATATACGAGAAAAAATCACTTGTGTTTCCTACATTAATATCTTGGTTACTTGAAAATATTATTTTTTTAATATCTTTTGTACCATTTTTTTTTTATTTAAATGGTTTAAGATAGGGAAAAGAAACGAAATATAAGTAAATATTATCCTTGTATGTTTTTCTTTTTTTTTTTTGCTCTGATATTATCTTTGTGTTCTTTTTAGGGATATTATCTTTGTGTTAAATATTAGCAAATGATATTTTTGATATTTCTTCTTAAAGCATGAAGATATTATTTTAATGTTATCAATAACCCATATATTTGTACTTAAAACATTTTTTTACGGAAAAAAAAAATCATTGTAATGCCAATTGATCTTTTTTCTTGTAACGAGAATTTTAAAAGAAAAAAATAATACCCTCCTTAAACCCTAAAATAAGCAGCGCAGAGCCTCTCTAGTCTAAACTCGCAAAAACCTTGCATTCTCTTTCTAATTCTCTCTCTAAAAAAGGTTGAGAAGTCGCATGAAGATAATTTTAATGTTATAAATAACCCATATATTTGTACTTAAAACATTTTTTTACGGAAAAAAAAAATCATTGTAATGCCAATTGATCTTTTTTCTTGTAACGAGAATTTTAAAAGAAAAAAATAATACCCTCCTTAAACCCTAAAATAAGCAGCGCAGAGCCTCTCTAGTCTAAACTCGCAAAAACCTTGCATTCTCTTTCTAATTCTCTCTCTAAAAAAGGTTGAGAAGTCGGAAATGGCGAGGCGTTTGATCCCTCTGTTCGATCGCATTCTCGTTGAGAAGATTCTCCCTCCCTCCAAGACCAATTCTGGGATCATTCTTCCCGAAAAAAGCTCCAAGGTTCGATCTCCCTCCCTCTCTGTCTTCTTTTTTCAGTTTTGAATTTGGGGCTGATTTCTTTTTAGTTTTCCATTCTAGACTTGTTTATAGTTGCTATTATTTTCCCTTTCAATAACTATGTTCCTTTTTGTGTTTCTAAGTATTTTCCGTTGCTTAGTATTTCTCAGTTTTGTTATAGAGGTGTTCATCTTTCTGAGAGTTTATTTCTTCTTCTTAGATTCTATATCTGAAATGTGCATTTCTCTTAGTATCCATTTTGAATATTAATTTCTTTTATCCTAAGTGGTTTTTTCTTCTTAGGCTCATTTTGTTCTTTGTTTGTTTGATTGTAAATTCAGCTCAACTCTGGAAAAGTTGTTGCGGTGGGTCCGGGTGCCACCGATAGAGATGGAAAGCTTATTCCTGCAACTTTAAAGGAAGGAGAGACAGTTCTTTTGCCTGAATATGGAGGAACAGAAGTTAAGCTCGGGGATAAAGAGTAAGCTTTACTTTAGTTGATCCGTTTATGTTTTTAATGATATACTAACATCTGCACCGAAGAGTTAATCACGTTTTTAACCCGTCGAGCTTGTGGAATCGAAATAAAAAGTTTTAACATCTTTCTCATTTTTATGTTTTTTTGGTAATGGTTGTTATGCTGTAATTGCGTGTGAATGAAAATCAACCTGTATAAAAAAAGAAAACTTTAGCCCTCTGTGCTTTGATAAGAATATCGATGTGTGTTAATTCGGTAAGAGTGTTCTATCGCTATGGAGGACCCTTTTGATTTTGGTTTGGAACAGCACCCTAACTGAACTAAATAGATCGGTTTTACAAGGAATCTGAAACCAAAAACGATAGAGGACGCTGAAACATAGATATGCAACCAGTTTATGTTTTGGAATGGTAATTATGTTGTTGGTTTTGGTTTGTTGCAATTCTAATGAATCTAATGAGTGATTTCCCATCATAAATAGTTTGAGTGATATGTAAAACATAGCAGCTTGCCAACAGAGTTTTGATAGTTGTGGAACCAACATTTACATTGGAATTCTGAAATTTACCCTACTTGTTTTACTAAAATCAATGGAAGCATTAGTGATTAGACTTTATGATTTTGAGTGAGCATGAGGAGTTTTTATATGATGTGATATGATGTAGTTGTCGTCTTGTTGTTGCCGTGAGGTTTGACATGGTTTTGGCGCCATAAGGCATAATATAGACTTATATTGAGACATAACAGTAGATTGTTTTATTCGTTTATACAAATAATTGGTTGGTTTGCAGTATTCAATTTCCGACTATCTAAAACCTTTTACTGAACGTTCGAGAAAAAAGAAAAATCATAAACTGCTTTGGAAGTACCATTGTCCATATGGGCAGTCAGCTCAAGTTGGTATAGTTGACTTATTTCTGTCTTTTCAGTATTTTGCATAGACATACTCTATGGTGCTCAGTGTCTTATTTTCGAGTCCAAAAACATTGTCAAGTATCAGAATGAGACCTGTATTCCATATTTGTATGTTATCCTTATGCTTGCTTGTGCCAGAATTAGAAGCAGAATTCGAATTAATCAGGACATCATTGATTGTCCGAAATGTGTTTCTTACTTTCCCTTTATGCTGTTTCAGTTATCATCTGTACAGGGAGGATGACATCCTGGGAATTCTTCGTGACTAATGCATTTCATTGCTCGGGGCTCGAAATGGGTGGTTTTCCGAAATGTGGAATTCTAAGTTTTTTTTGGCATCACAGTTTGACATTGCTGCATCGTTTGTTTTTTCAAACTTGTACTAGCCTAGAAGACAGTGTTACTCGTATTCTCGGGGACTCAAGTTTGCAATTTAAAAGTTAATCCTTGATGGGAATTTTAGATTACCATTTAATTTGTGTTCTTCATTTTCTTCAAGCTCGTTAAATCTTGTGGATTAATTCCGTCTCACTCGATCTAGATAAACCCAAAGCATTATGTAATACGTTTCTACTTATGAAAAGGAACAAAAGAAAAAAAAAAACTGACTTAATAATCTTGCCCTCCTCCAAGGGACCAAGATCCAACAAAAATTTGAATTGCCAATCGTATAGCCAGATAATGCTTGTGTTGATGCCATGTTGCTGAAGATTTTATAGTGACGTTATATTTTGTAAGGAAAAGATGAGAAAATTACAGATTTTACCTGTTTAAGGAATTGACTTAATAAAAGTACTCTTTTTAAAAAACTTTATCCCTTAGACTAGTTCTAATCTAAAATGTAGAATCTAAAATGAAACGACACTCTCATAAAATCAATTATTTATACAATCTGTTCTTCCATAAAATTATCACACAATTAGATCCAAACACCTAAAATCCGACGACACAAGCAGCAAATGCTCATGTACTGGACAAGTCTTAACATAAGAAATGGTACAATACATAGTTTGAGACTACTTGTCAGAATTGATTGAAAGTTTGAGAATGTTTTGGGCAGCACCTGAACTCAGTTCTTCATAAACCTGAATTATGTAGGAAAAAGGAAAAGGGATTGTCATTATACATCATAAAGTCCAAAATAAAACTTGGATATTATCATCTCTATTAACAAAAACAAAGACATGGAATTCTCTCTTTAAATGAAAATATGATGCTTACAAGCTTTTTATGTATTCGCTGAAAGGCCTCGCAAAATCTCTCTGCTTCTGCTGCACCCACCTGTACAATTGAGCACCAATAGTTAAGTCTCTCCACATTGTCCCCATCGAGGTTTCCTCCATACATTGTGTCGTATCAGACACCTTATTAGAACAATAATAAATATACAAAGCAATATGGTATCTCTAAGGACAATTTGGGCGGGATTATGGATTGATTAGAGGAAACTGGGGAAACCCTTGGGAGAGCTAGCAGACCTCAAAAAGTCTGCAAATCTATTTTGTAATAGAGTCTAGTTCTTGTTATCAATAATAATCTTTTCTCGGTTCTAATCATTATCCCAAAATCAGAAGAAGTTTCTAAATTAGAATTAGAAGCAGAAATAGAATATCTTCATTTAATATCAGATTAATTCCTATAACTTCTTCTGGTAATTTAGCTTCTTCTCTATTTCTTTCTAAAAGCAGGTATTAATAGTTATTTATTTTGCAAATGGATTTTCAAAACAAGGAAGCACCTTCCAGACCCTTTAACTACCGCATATTGAAGGCTCCTTTAAATTTTCCAAAGATAGTTTCAAATCAAAATGCCTACAAAGTCTGGTTTTTGTCTGACAACCTTAGTGATTTTAGTAAGCTAGTTCGAAATCTAGAAAACTGAAGATATCTTGATCTATGACATCATATTCTTCCATTTCTGCTTCTAATTCTAAATCAGAGACATGAAAGATCAGTACACCAAATCCAACCATAGGAAAAAGATATATGAAACTCACTTTGCGGTTTGTGGTTACCTTACAACGGCTTGAAGGTTTCTACAACTATCCTTCTATGTCCATGTCCAACTTTTAGTCATATTTAACTATGTTAGCTACTCAGTCCATCAAGTTCCACACATGTGCACCACCAACACGTGTCGGTCTACACTTAACCTTGCCAAACATTATAGCAACTCTCGTAAATTGTCTTTTAGCAATTTCAAACTGTGTGTCCGTTTCTGTATTGTGCAGCAAGGAGTATTGACTAACATGAAGAGGTGATAAACATGTGTAGATGTTGCTAGAATAAAGTCAAATAGGAAAAATTGGTGGATCCAGAATTTTTTAGGGTATGAGTATGATAACCACAAGACCGAGTTTGGTGATGCAAGATTTCAACATAGCTCATGTAAACGACCTTCCTAAAAGTAAAATAACAAAGCAATTCTATCCCATGAATTAAGCCAATACCTTACCTTCGGACCTCTTAAAAATTAATAATATCAGTTCAATGACGTAAATTATTACCATCAGTAAATAACCCAATATAAACTCAATGAACACCACCGTAATCTACTGGACAAAAACAAAAAACCATTAGAAATACCCGTCATGAAGACACGAACATGATGCTTTAACATAATGTAACACACTGCCGCAAATGTAAGAGTGCCTTAAAACTAAAACTTTGTAACTGCTCCTAAACAACCATATAAAATCACAAACTAGAACCCCCATTTGACAAAAAGAAACCAAAGAGTAAAATCATGGAGCTTGATACGTTTTGGCAAGAATAAATTTCCAAAATACATATTTACAATTTTTACATGCAAGAAAAAGCTAAAACACAGCTGGAATGTGGGAGGATTCATATGTCGATAAGAGAAATTTTGTAGATGTGTGAGTGTTCATGTCTTCAACTTTGGTGCTTGTCATGCATGCTAAAATTGTTTCGTTCTCAATCGAGAGTGACCGTAATATTATAAACAACTGATAAGAGGGGGGAAAAAAGCATGCAAAATATTCAAATCCCTCAATAAGAAAGATTTGCAACTCAGTATTCTAGGATCAAAAGAGGCTGAAAGCTGAAGCTCAACATACCTTCCTCTCAGCAGCTGTCTTTAACTTCGTCCAAAATGCATCTGTGAATTCACATCCATATCAACAGATAAATACAACTTCGGTACCATATATTAGCCAACAGGTTGATAATAAACCTTTATCCAATTTCATCTCCACCTTATGCAATGGATAGACAAAACCCATATTTTAAGTAAAGAAGCATGAAACCTTAAAACAAATGAACTTCAGAAAACTATTTCGAGCCATGTCAAGTGGCAAAAAAGAGAAGTTACTTCAAAGGATCACATAAGACTTTAAGAACTTAGGGATCAAAGAAAACGGTAATTGTATCTATTCCAGAAAGAAATCATTTAATTTTTAATATTTTCTTTCTTTAAAAAAGAAAAGAAAACCCAATTTGCTAAAACAAGTCCCTGAAAACTGGAGCATTAGAAAAGAGCACCAAGAAAGTCAAAATAAGTAGACCAAAGGGAATGGCATTAGAAAGTACGACTCCCAGGTGCACTAATAGCGTGAAACTACTTAAGAAATCAGAAGAACAAACAAATCCCACAATGGGCCATGACTTAAAATCCTGCATACGTATCCATGTAAACAGTTAATCATGGATATGCAAGAGCAGCTACCTCAAAGTATTGTAGATATGTTATTAGGTGCTTAGGTAGGGTAATAGACAAGTCATCAAGGCAAAGGCCCAAAGCACTAATATATACATTTATTAGCAAGATTTAAACCATTATAAATCTCATTTTTCTGGCTAGAATAAGACTTTTTCTCCGTGTTAAAAGTTTTGCAAGTGAGACTTACCATGTTGATAAAGTCCTTCGATTGCAACTTGTTTGTTATCTCCATGATCCCACGCATCATGCCATTCTTTTAGCTGTTATGCGAATACGAGGAAAAGACTATGTCAAGTCAAGTAGCAGCACGCGCGCACACACAAAAAGGAAAAAAAAAAAAAGCAGTACCACCTCATTATGGGATGACTTAGAAGTTGATTGTCTTGATGATTCCGATTCGAACTGAAATATGATTCAAATGAAAAAATTTTATGGTACAAAATATAATCCGATACAACTGAAATATGATTCAAATGAAAACATTTTATGCTACAAAATATAATCCGATACACACAAGTGAATAAAGAGAAAAATAAGAGGGTAAGGGACACAAAATGCCGTTCGTTTAACCATTCTTCAAGCTGAAACATTAAGACATACCACTTTTTTTTTTTTTTCATATACTCGTATACCATCTAGATCTAGTATGGCTAAAATAATAGAACGTATGATGGAAAATATCAAAACATTTTCAGCAAATAAAGGAAAATTGATCCACAAAATAAATTAGCAAAATCAGAAACTTCAATTCATTCCCCATCATAAATGGTTTCAGCCCATCTTTCTCTCTTTCTGACAAAGGTGAAAATGAAATCCTTTTTATGATAGGAATTTTCTACTACAAAAAATTTCCTATTGGACAGCACTATGACCCTTCGTAAGAAAACCCAAAAAATTCCTAGCAAAAACTAAAAACCCCCACCATTTCATATGCTCAGACTTAAAATTTGTAATAATCTTTTTTTTTTATTTTTTTATTTCAGACACTAAACTAACAATAATCTTCATAATAACAACCCAAAAGACATTATACATATACGGGGAAGTATTACTCTATAAACTTGGCCAATTTTCTCATACACCCAGATAATTTCTAGGGAACATATTCCAAAAATTGGACAGTGAAGAATCGTTTTACTTGAACGAAAAGTCATTAGCAGTAAAACATCAAGTACTGAGAGAGAGAAAGAGAAGGAGGAGGCCTTACAACGAAATCTCGGGATCGGACGACAGGGAAGAGATCAAGGAGGCGTCGAAATTCATTCTCATCCATGGCTGTTTCTGATACTCTGCTCTCAGTTTTCTCGTCTCTCTCTCTCTCTCTCTCTCTCTCTTTAGATTTTTTTTTTTTTTTTTTTTTGGCTCCCCTCACTAACGGAGAACTTTTTTATTTTTTTAGTGCAGACTTCTAGCATTATAAATAGAAAAATGGAGATCTCCGATTCGAATCATTATTTATTATAATATTTTTTTTATAAAAAATATATATAAATTAAAAATAATTTTAATTATAATTTTAATTATATATTTTTAATTTATGAACTAAACGTTAATTTAATATTTAAATATAAAAAATACTTTTTAATATAATACTATTTATTTTATTAAATTTTTTTATATGTTGTATTTTATCGTTAATTTTCATTGGGTGCATATTAAGCATAAAGCAAATGGAATTAATTAATAGAAAAACGAAAAAGTGGAAAGGAAACCTCCGTTTCCTTGTTCCTACGGGGGAGCCATGAAAATTATTTAAGTCTTGTTTAGTTGGTTGTTTAGATTGTAAAATTTGATTTAAAAAAGTCTAATAATTGTACTAAATATGAGAATCTAAAAGATTTTCATTCCCACTCCTATGATTACCCCGTACTAAACGCCCCTTAACCCTTTTGCACTAAGAAATTTATCCGTTTTCAAAAGAGTCAAATGAAATTGTTGGGGTGCAATTAGTAAGTTGTGACTTGTAAAAAATAGTATGAGGCCTCCTTTTTTTTTTTTTTTAAGTAGATTAGATATATATCCATTTTCAAATGAATGGAAAAAGGGATATCCACAAGTTGTGATATTTCTATATAAAACTGTAAAACAATATATAATGTCATTTTTATCCTTTGTTAGCTAGGACAATTTTTAAAAATGCCCCTTAAAATAGTCATTTTTTATTTCTACTCTTAACATTAATTTATATATTTTTACTTTTTAGACTATAACTAATCAAGAGGTAGATTTTTTAAAAAGTGTACTTTTAAAAAGTCAGGTACTTAAAGACATAAAATCTATAATGTTCTCTTATTTAACTACCTTTTAAAATCCATAACCACCCATAAATGAAAGGGAATATTTAAAATGATATTATCAGTAACCATAAAATGGACATATTAATAATATTGTCGAATTTGGAGCTTAAAAATATAGCCATTTCTTGTAAGTTATTTTTAAATTCTTCGTATCCAAACAGTCATAAATTAGGCATGTGCATCAATCGGCGTAGCCCAAAAATTAGGGTTGAGTCGGATTTACTTGTGGGCCTTGTCGGCCAGAAACCCAAAATAGCTCGAGTTGGATATTAGGTTTGGCCTTGCGATTGCTGATGGATTGAGTCGTCCTTCATGAGGTCCCTCACATTTTTGAGGAAACTAGTTGAACTCCACGTATATAAGACTAATTCATGTGATAAGTTTTAGAAAAAAGCGAGAGGAAAAAAAAAAATTTAATAGGAAAGTGTGAAAGGGAAGAAATATTTTAAAGAAGCATATAAACAATGAAATTGTAAAATAAATAGGGATACATTTTAAAGAACTTATTTCAAGTAAATATAGGGGAAATATATTACTGCCGAGGTAATTGAAATCCATATTCAAAGGACCATAACATACAATTGATTATGCATTTCATCCAGAAGCGTATATTTACACCCGTCCTTTTTTTTTTTTTGGTTCAGAAAATAGAATACGCAAGCTGGTATACGAGGTCTGCCACTTTTTTCTTCTTCTTCTTCTTCTTCTTCTTTTTTTTTTTTTTTTTTTTTTTTTTTGGGGGGAAATTGGGTGGAAAAAACTGGTATATTAGTAAGAAACGTGAACAGGGTTTTACAAAATTTTTCTGGTGATACAAAATGAAACGAACTAGTGGTCAAGCTAGATTATAAAACCTGTAAGATGCCGAAACAAGAATCACTCATCGTCTGAACTAGATTATAACGCTAAGAGTTTCGCAAGTCTTCAATGGCGTTTCTTACCACCACCCTTCTTGCCTTTGTTCTTTTTTCCTTTGCCTTTTCCTTTCACCTTCTTTTTCCCTTCATTAAATTTAAACATAGGAGCAACAGCATTACTCTCTCTAGATGGAGTCTGATGCAGCAAATGCTTCACATTGAGTACACCGTTTCTAAAGTGGCCTTCACTCGACTTCAGAACCTGGTCCTCTGGCCGGCGCTTCACCTCGGATCTTTTAGGTCCACCGCCACCATATTTCCCACCGAAACATCCAAGAATCATCCTCTATACAGATTACAGAATTAAGGAAAGTTCAAAGGTTTTGCAACACAGAATGATAAACAAACAAATGGGCAATGGAAAAGAAACGATCAACAATACCTCTTGGAGCATTTTCTGTTCCCTTTCCTTCTGTTTCTTCATCCTCCCTTTTGCTACACTAAGTGGTAGTCTCTGTTGTTTTTGAGGCTGTCTCAAGGGCAAAACCAGTATTTTCACAAGTATGATTAAGCTACAAATCTTGGTAAAGAAAATATGTATACTTACTTATTTTTTACGAGATAAAATGTGATATTACTTCAATGAGTGCTCAGTGCAGAACTTTGTACTACATTGAGATAAAAACACGGGAAAAGTGTCACCATACCTTTCCACCAAGAGAAACCACCTTCTTATTTTCCAGTGCCTTCTTCTCTTTCCATGTCATATGTGAGGAACCTGAAATCAGAAACCAAAGTGGCCAACCAAATGACAATCAGATGGAATCTTTGAGGAAACATGCATAGGAAAGTAAATACACACAAATACATATATATTCATTTATTTGAAGTTGTTCTATCTAACTTTCATGTAGTAGTTTACATGCAACCACCACGAGAAAATTGATGCATCTGTTGTAGCTATGATTTTCCAAGCCCGACAAAATCAAACTCCTCTACCATGGAAAGTTAGACCAAACAGTTAAAAAGCACCGTAAAGTAAAAGTGAAAACATTATAACTCTAACCAATCATACCAAAATTATTGTTCAAAACTGGAAAAGAAAAGGTTAGTAACATATGAATTGTGACCCTAACATCGTTAAGAGATTAAGTTCATACAATTATCAAGATGTTTCATTTGTAATTAACTTGGGACGCCAGTTTGTAGTTTATGATCCTTAGGATCCTCTGATCCTTCACATCAAGCACAGAGAAGAACTCTCCAAGCAACTCAACTAATCTGCTTGCTCACTTTATAAGCAACTTAGTAACTCCTAATAGAATGAGCATGAACAGTGAATCACCCTAACATCGTTTAGAGATTAAGTTCATACAATTATCAAGATTTTCATTTGTAATTAACTTGGGACGCCAGTTTGTAGTTTATGATCCTTAGGATTCTCTGATCCTTCACATCAAGCACAGAGAAGAACTCTCCAAGCAACTCAACTAATCTGCTTGCTCACTTTCTAAGAAACTTTAGTAACTCCTAATAGAATGAGCATGAACAGTGAATCAAAACCAGGTTGTCTCAAAGTATTACGAGTGAAGCAGCAGGTATTAGCACCTAACACAGGATCCTCAGAACGTAGCCTATACACAAATCTCTACATTAAAGATTGGGAATGAAATTAATGAAGAAACTAAGATGTTCTATCAGGCAGCCTGATTATGTATTAAAAGTGGTTACGTAAACTCCTTGAGATCAACAACCAGGGCAAGGTATTTAAAAGTGATTACATAAACTCCTTATGATCAACAACCAGGACAAGGTTATTTATTTATTTTTTTTTTCGCTTACACAGTAAACATGATAGAAACTGATGCTGAGCCCCAGACCACGTGTCATTCAAACAAGATACACAGAAATGAGATTAATGAGAATAGATGCCAAAAACAGAAAATAACCTAGCCCTTTTAGCTAAATCAGATGCCAAGCACCCCATAAACTAAAATAATGGGGCAAGAACTACGCAAGACATTCTTGACATCCCGTGGACAGGTACTTGCGGAAGCACAAACGAGCTTTAAAAACTCTTATACCGACATAACACTTTAATTTCATTCTTCTTGCAATGTTATTCAGAGTGTTTAAACTTGCTTATGATAGCTGCCTCAAGGGCATGATCACGGCGTGGCACAACCAAATTCCCTAGAGCCTCCGACAATTACATTGGCATCTCAAAGAAATTTCAACCTCAACTTCGATTCAGTCGTAGTTTCTGGTATCGACACAGATAGTGGGAAATCTCTATACGATTGAAGTCAGTGTGCAAGACAAAGTCGAGTTTTGACTTTGAGTTCCTCTTTTAGCCTTACTAATGTGAAATCATTCCCTTCCGTCACCTTATCTGAGATGATAGTTACCTTTCTAAGAGCAAATTCAAATAGCATTTAGCAGTTCAAAGCAACTTATTTCTTTGCCCACCAATGCATTACACCTCAATACGCATGTTCTACACACACAGAGAGACATATATATAACTCAGTAAACTTTACCCTCCTTCCACAATCCCAATTCTACTGCTGAGTTCTTAAAAAAAAAATAAAAAAAAAATAAAAATCTGCTTTAATAATACCAGTCTGTAGTTTTCATTACAATTACAATTCAGTGTATTACAATTATGAGTTATTTATGATAACGGCATAAGAAACGTACATAAACTATATCCGACTCCTATTGTAGGGAATCATAATATGACTATATGTTCGACTCGATTTCTTCATTAGTGAAAAGCATCAGACACAGTTCTAATTAAAGCCACGAGATTAGAAAATGAAATTCTCTCAAAGAACAAAAATAAATAAATAAATAAAATTGCAAAAATAGAGATAGAATTACGCATACCTAGAACCTCGATATCTTTCATAATCTTCATAATGTCCATTCTTTCGTCTTTGGATTTCAGAGGAGCCCTCGAGGATCTTCCTCTGTCCCCTTGTTTATCTTTATACATGTTTCCTTTGTCCAACTTCTGAGACAAATACGAAGGAGAAAACAAAACGATCAGGTATCAGGTAGAAATCAAAAGGAAACATAAACTGGAGTGAAGGACAGAAATCACTCCAATATAAACATATATACATATATATATATCGATCAGTAAAGAGTGAATGAATAGCTCCCTGCCGGTTCCGGCTGCTTTGATCGGCGATGACGGACAGTGGTGGCTGGTTCCGTCGGCGACGGCGGCAACGAGAGTGACGGAGGGTTTGTGATGATGCAGCTCTACAAGACAACCCTCGCATCGTAGAAAGACTGCGCGCTTATTTGTGTTATTTGGGCCTGGCCCGTGAATGCTAGACGAGGTAATGATTGGGTCGTCTGGACCGGGCCGGCCTGACACTAAATGGGAGAGGGATGGTCCAGCCCTGCCCAAAATCTTATAAGATATTTAAAAAATATATATATATATATATTTAGAAAGAGAGCGTTTCGGTCAGATCGATCTATTCTAAATAAATTTTTGGGAGAAAGAGAGAAATAGGTCAAAATTTAAGATGAATTAAAATTAATAGGTCAATAGTTTATATAAGTTAATAAATAGGCTAAATTATTATTTTTGTCCATAACTTGTAACTTGACAAGTTATTGTCCATAATTGTCCATAACTTGTCTGGCTATGAACCATAACTTGATAAGTTTATCCATAACTTATCTGGTTATAAACTATAACTTGACAAATTATGGTCTATTAATTTCTATAACTAAAAATTGATCTATATATTTTCTTAAGCTTTTCATATTGGTCTATTTTCTACTATTTTTCATAAATTTTTAAACTCGAAATCTTAACCCGATCCGAACTAACAGTGATGTCTCAAATCGGTCTGTTTGACTTGACCCAAAACTTACAACTTTAATGTTAGTGAAAGGAGAAATTAGGTAGAAATATAACAAAATTTTGATATATAGTAATTATTCTAATGATATTAATTTTAATTACTTATAAATAGTTTATTGTTTTATCATATTTTTGGGTAAGGTCGGTAAGGCATACGGTAAGTAAAGTAGTATATAATTATTTGACTAAAAATATTATTAAATAAGAGTAAGAGGTAAAAATTCTGATAAGAAGTATTTATCTCTTGCCCTCCCCCCCATTTTTTTAAGAATACAAGTAAATGTTATAACTAAAGAAAAAAAATAAGGGGGCCAATGAGTGAAATTGTAAATATTAACGGATGGCTAATAAGATGTATTTTATTTTTATATCAGAGCTGGATCTCTAAAAGTGAATATAAGGGAGGCAAAGTGAGATAAATAAATATTTTCAAGCGTCATTAATGAAAATAAGACAAAAATCAATACTCTGAACGGCATGACACAATCCAAAAAATCAATCTTCAGGGGGCCAAAGTCAGATAAATCATTACTTAAAACGACATTTTACATGACTATTATAGCATTCTTAAAAAAAAAAAAAAATCCTTGAACTGATGTATTGGAAGCATAACAAAAACACAAAATAAAATAGATTTTCTTCGGATTCATTGATTCAATTAGAATTCTGAAAAATTAAAGAACAACTATCAACTTGTTGATTTACGCAAAATGTCATGAAAGTATGCATTGACCCCTAATTGATTCCATAGAATACAAAGACTATGAGATAATTAGAGGCCTCATTCATTTCACCGATTCGAGTTTAAAATTTGAGTTTTGTTACAGTAAAAAGCTCTTAGAAATAGTCACATCTAACTTTTTTGTTACAGTAAAAAGCTTTCACATAAAATTATATCTCAACTCGAATTAAAAACTCGAATCAGCGAACTAAACGAGCCCAAAATAAGCACGAGCTTTGTTGGTTATGAAGGAAACTGAAAATTGATGTGAAACAATTGGAATAATTCTCAAGAACTTTATTAATGCATAATTAATAACTCCCTAACAAAGTAACGAAAGGGTTTTAAACAGTAAACTCTATTTCCTATTTAAACTTGAATATATCTTAGGTAAAGTTTTAAGTTCGGAGCCTGCATAATATGGTAATTATAACTTTCTTTTTCTAGTGTAATATTATTTATACGTATGTGTAGCATTCAGTTTGTTTAAGCATAATACTTAATATTATACGTAATATTAATACTTAATATTAGATGTGTTGGACTATATTTTTTAAATATTATACGAACGAATCAAGTGTTATATGCGAGGGTACGATGTTCCATGAGAATACGAAAAAAGTTATATTTGTTGGACTGGTCTGACTAGACAAGACATTTCCCCAAATATTATTTAAACTGATAAAAAAATATAATAAAAATAATATAAACCTCCGTAGATGAAAAGTAGTAGGAAATTGTAATGGGCTTTTCAAACATATAACAATACTTTATAATAGGAGAAATGAGACAAATACTCCTTAAAAGTGTATGGATCAAAATTTATACTTCTTACTCTTGATTAATAACATTTTTAGTTAAACAACTAGTAAAAGATCACGAATAAAGGTAAAAATTCAGACTCATGCATTTTTAAAAATAAATCCTGTAACTTTCTCTTGGAAAAAATTATAAATAGATCCTAACTTTAGTTTTTAAGTACTCTTAATTTCAAATTTGAAATCTCTAATAAATTAAAAATCAACTATAGTACTACATCAATTCAAAAACTATTGAACTCTAAACTTTAAAAATTATAAATAAACCTTATTACAAGCTCAGTACATCTAGAGAAAATAAAATAAAATAAAAGATAAAAATAGATTAACGAAAGTAATAAAAGACATCTTTGTTGTAGTTTAGCTCAACAAAGACTGTCAAGGAAGACAGCCGGCTTCGAGAGACACGCAACGGAGACGAAGAGGTGCCACCAAACAGAAGTGCGTGAGGATTACGCGCCACCACCATCATCGCCGGAAAGAGGCACCATTTCCTGAACCAAACAAATAGCCACGCTACCCTAAACACTACCAAAACACGAAAAAAAATGTTGCATGATATTCTAGTGTTGGAATTCTCACTGATTATAAATTATATCACCATCTAAATTCTATCCTAAATTACACTACTCACCCCACTAATTTACCGGCACTTACTGAGTTTTGTTATTTTGTGACTAGTTGAATTTTAGTCGTTCGTTGAAATATTGTGATACGGAAACCAGAATATCCGCCTGAAAAGAAAAGCTCTTGAGTTCAATAAAAGTGCCCCATTTGTATATGTAAAAAATCGTCTACATATAGAGAGGAATAATATAAAATGTAATATGATATTATTGACATGAAAACCTATAAGATCAACGTAGTGGTAAATAAACCAATGTGAACTAAATAATAGTACAAAGTTTAATCTACTTGTGCTTGTTTACCTCTATTGTGGGAGAGAATCAATAAGAAATCACATGGTATTGGTGATCATTCTAGTTCAGTAGTGCAGTCTTCTTCTTTTGTAAGTAGAGGCAACCAATTCTGTTTCACATTGTTCCGACTCGGCGCTAGTAGCATCTGACTTTGCTAGCCAAGGATGACCGTCAAAAATGCCGAATTCCTCTGCATCTCGGAGGTAAAGCATGCGGATCCCGCACTTTTTCACTTTGAAGGAGTTGACAACTGTATAATCACCATCATATTCTCTAAGGAAGAAGTTAAATGAAACCTCCGTCGCGTCAAAATAGTCTCGGTAGTTCTCGTCATGGTAGCTTAGCTCATAGCACATGAACACATGATCTGATCTGAGTACTGTGTTGTTGATCTGATCCTCCTCCTGAAAATGGCATCGGTTATCATAGAAGCTCCACTCGAATTCTTCGCTTTCACTGTGGCTGGTTTTGAAACTAAATTCGGAAGAAAAAATTGGATAGTAGCAGTTGGAATAATTGTTTTCAAATGAAACAACAGCGCATAAGGCAAACCCCATGAAGTTATCATTATTCCAATTCGGAGGAAGTTTGACATCTATTGAAGATCCCTCACACTGATTGTTGAACCACTTTGGTATTTCATCTCCCGGATAAGATATACTAATTGCGCGATGAGCATAAGGTCCCTGGACAAAATTATGTTGTTAATTGCAATCTTGAAAAACTGCTCATTTTTGTTACTTAATGTACAAGAAAGAGACTGACCTCAACTTCTCCGAGCTTTAGTAGGTATGCAGTTGCTGTGCACAAAACTCTAAACTGAAATTCGGTCGCCATGTTGTCTCGTTCATTTTGGTCCAATTTCGTGCACTCGTAAAAAGAAAGTTGCCAATTCTGAGTAACATGATAGTCATCCCAACATCCTTGTGTGAGTATAGTCATGTTACCCGTTGTTGATTCAAGTGACGTGCATCCGCGTGCATCAACAAACGATATAGACAATGGAAGCTCTGGCAAAACTTGAAGGTTCTTGCAATTTTGGATGTAAAGGAATTTCAACATTGAAAGTTGTTTGATGCATGTAGGTATTCCCCCAATATTGGTTCCACTTAGATCTAAATATGCCAACGAGGATAAACCGATCAACCAATCGGGGATTTCTAGTAAATTGCAACAGTTCATATGTAGCTCATTCAAAGAACTCAAACCAACTAACAGGGAAGGCAAATTTTCAAGTTTTGAACAATTAGAAAGGTTTAGGAGCTTGAGGCTATTTATGTTACCGACATTGTGTGGGACAAACACAAGATTTGTGCATCCATTCAATAGCAGATTTTGAAGCTTAATAAGGTTCTTTATGGATGATGGTAGCTCTTTAATCCCAGTCCCTTGTAACTCAAGAATCAGTAGGTGTTCCATAGGCTCTAAAATGTCTGGGAAGTCTATTAATTTCGAGCAATAAGAAAGATCAAGATGCTTAAGAGACTTCAACTTCGAGATGCTTGTTGGGAGACTTGCAAGCCTTGTGCAGCCGCTCAAAAGAAGCTGCTCAAGATCACGGAGATAACCGATTGATGAAGGCACTTGTTCTATTGCCGTATGTGACAAACTTAACTTTTTTACGCACGTTGGAAATTCTGGGAAGTTTTCAAGAGATGAACAGCCATATAGGTTAACATCTGTCAGAGAAGTTAGCTTAAGCATACCACTTGGAAGATTCTTAAGGAATTTACAGTCCTTAAGATCCAATTCAGAAAGATTGTTAAGAGACAAAATTGATATTGGCAGTTCTTCTATTGCTGTTTCACCTAGTTGTAGGCTTTCCAAATTGCCATAAATTTCTGGAAGAGTTTTGAGATTGGAGCAACCAAAGAGATCGAGAAGTCTGAGAGCTCTTGTATAAATCTTATCTGGAAGACTTGAGAGGTTTTCACAATACCTTAGTCTCAGAATAGTAAGTTTGTGAAGATTTTGAGTGTTATGTGAAGCAACCTCAAACAAACTTGTACAGAATAAAAGATTTATGCTTTCGAGATTTGGCGCTTGAGAAAGATCCGGGATTTGCGTCAGATGCTTAGAGTAGCTGAGATTTATGTGTTTCAAGTTTGAAAGATTCTGTAAGAAAAGACAAGCAAAAGGATAACTTAGCTGCCTTGTATACTTAATATACTTGAAACAAAAACAGAAAAAGAAACAATGTGAAAACCTGGATTCCATCCCAAAGTTGTTCAAGTTGGCTATGAGACATATCAAGTGCAACAAGGTTCTCTGGTGTGAAACTTGATGGCAAAGATCTTAAAGGGTATTCACTCCAATTAAGATATCTAAGCGAATCGGGAAGAAATTGGAGACCTTGGGGAAGGTACACTTTGTAGTTCTTCATGTAGTTGGTAGAATTATAAATGTGGAGCAATCTTAAGTTATACATCTCAAGGAAGACTAGAGGATGCAATGTTATGTCTCTCTCAATCTTGGACTTGTCTAGGGATATTCCTTCAACTGTGTAACAACCCTGACAATCAAAAACAATGTATAGATGAGTATATATAGCATACATACATTGACAATCAAAAACAATGTATATATAGCATACATACATTGATTAAAAAATAATTAACAGATGAACAAAAGAAAAAGATTAAATTAAGAAAGTGTTCAAAACTTACAGTACTATTTTTGAAGACATGACAGATATCCTTAGCTATCCATAACCGACTGCGTTTTCCAGGCTCTTTGATAGATTGTTGACGAACAATTTCCCAACCCATTTCTTGTATCAAATCATGCATCCATAGCTTGTTATGGTCTTCAATAGTTATGAGAGACTTATCAATAAGAACTCTGATTCCTATACGTGCAAAGAAGTCACAACCATCTAATATTCTCTCTACAAAATCTTTATCATGCCCCTTAAAAAAACATGCTATATCGAGAAATATGTCCTTTTCGGCATCATCTAGTCCATCATAACTAATTCTCAACACCTTATGAATGTCCATATTAGGAACTACTTTTAGTTTATTCAATGCACATTCCCATTCTCCAATGGTCCGAGAATGAAGGTAGGAGCCCAAAACCTTAAGAGCTAGCGGATTGCCTCTAGTATAATTTACTATCCTTTTCGACAACTTTATATAGTTATTTGCTCCAAAAGTCCTTCTTCCAAAGGCATTCAAGTGAAAAAGTTGAAGAGCCTCTTCAAAATCTAATTCCTCAACTTCATATATCTCATCAGCTCCAGCTCTAAGCAGTTGTGCGTTTCTTGTTGTTACAATGATTTTACTTCCAAAGCAAAACCAATCACTTCTAGCTAAGCATTCGAACTGCTCTTGTTTATCCACATCATCAAGAACAATGAGCATTTTCTTACGACGAAGCCTCGCACCAACGAAGGTTGGTTCGATTGGCGAGTTTCCGATCTCTGGGTTTTCTTCCTTTAGTAATTCACCGAGAAGCTTATTTCTTAATGTAATTAATCCATGTTTCTCTGACTCTTCCCTGATATTTGCAAGAAAACAACAACTTTCGAATTGAGTACAAAGCCGATTGAACACAACAGAAGCCAGAGTCGATTTACCGATACCACCCATCCCCCAAATTCCTACAATGCGAACTCTTGGCGAGCAAATACTTAACAACTTCTCAATTTTTTGAACTCGTTTATCAATTCCAACTAGACCCTTAGGACCAATATGATCACTTGAGAATGTGTATTTCAACTTCTTCAATACATCTCCAACAATTGCCTCAATTAATTTAGACTCAGGCCTAGCACGTATAAGGGAAAGTAGAGGTTAATTAGCAAGTAAAAATTGAAAGTCATGAACATATAATTTGATCTAGTGGTCATTGGTACATGTATGAATCATGATAGTAACTAACTAGTAATAACTATGGAAATGAAACTTTCTTTCACATGCATTAAACAATTTGCATCAGAAAATGAAAGTTAGAAAGCAACTACATGAACATGTATATGAAATATATGCATAGAAGATGATGTACAATTTATAATTACCTAACAACCTTTGAATCCCATCCACATAGATTGCCTGCTACAGTCAAAGCATTTTTCCATTGACGCACCTTATCCATTCTGTGCTTGAAACGTTGTTCAAGTAGAGCAAATGCAGTTGCATAACTTCCCTCTTGTTTTCGTACATGCGATGGATTTACGCAATAAAAAACCGGTATGACGAATTGCTCATTTCTTTCCTTGCATTCGAGTATATGCACGAGCTCATCCAAACACCATGAGGAAAAAGCATAGTTTCTTGAGAAAATAACTATGGAAATCTTAGACTGTTGGATTGCTTTCGCGAGTTCAAGTGGAATTTCATCTCCTTTTTCTAGTTTGTCATCCGTGTACGTTTCAATTTTCTTTCCAAGTAATTCTTTATGAAGATGGCTTATGAAATTACCACGAGTGTCTTCTCCTCTAAAACTAAGAAAGACATCATACTTGATCAACCGAGAGGTAATAGACGGAGAAGAAGAAGAAGAAGAATCAGCCATACCAATAATATTCAAAGTCCCAAACACTTCCTTTGCTAGTACTTTTAAGGGCTAAACTGCTGAAAGAATAGGATCATGTGAGATAAAATCATGCAACACCTGTTGGAAAGAAATATGTGATGAGTTTGAAAAATAAATGTCTATTAATTGACTTTAATTTTATAAGATAAACTTTATTATCCATGATCACTACAAGAAAATGGTCAATAATCCACCACAAATCTCAAAATAGTTAACGACCTTGTAAGAAAATGGACAAAACTAAGGAAAGGAAAAAAAAAAACTCAAAAATTATCCAGACGTAATTCAAAATATAGTGAGGCGACAAACAAATAGTGGTGAACTGCGGAGAAGTTCAAGATCAATGATGTAGCTTAAGCTTATTAGAAAAATAAAAATAAAAAATAAAAAATAAAATAAATGGATAAATTTGTTGATTCACACAGAGCACGGGAAATTGGCAACAAAGTGTTTGATTCACAAATAATACTGAAGATTGATAAAAAAAAAGAAAAAGAAAAAGAGAAATCTTTAAATTTTATTAAATATATCATAACTAGTTTTCATTAAAAGAAGGCCTTTACACGTATAGACAAAATGAAAACAAGAAACTTGTGACGACCCTCTTATATGGCTGTCACTGTAGCTAAAATTAACTTGTACCTGCTAGATTTTCTTAAAATTTATGGAACTTTTTTTTTTTTATTACTCTTAAAACTCTTATAGTAGATATAAGTTACGAATTCTTTTCTTGATTAAAATATTCATACATTAACACATCCATTTTTCAAAGCATATAGATATATCTATATGTATATACTTAATCCTTAAGTTTTGCTTACTTACGGCCATAATCCACATAACCATTTAACATATAGTTTCAGAATCATAATTAGCAAAACTATTTATCACGTAAAACTGATTACGAAAATAATTGCTAGCGGTATCCATACCCTGATCTCCACATCATTCATCCACCGTCTCGCCATCAATCCATCAAATATTAAGTGCAGGTTGCTTACCTACAGTATAAATATTCTATGATGAGCTTTCACTCAGCAAGTAGGAACTATGTCTTGCAAAATACCTGTAAGTTCACATGAATAAATATGCATGAGCTATTTATGCTTAATTATGATCACGTCTTATTAAATTCTTATTATATGATCTTATCTTACTTACTGATGGGCTTGAGTGCTCGTACCATGTGCGCGCAATCATCTCCAACAATATCGTGATTTAACTTACTATGTACTTCTTTTTTTTAATCTCCTTTGTGGAGTCTAAGTTACCTCCCTCTCAGAAGCTGGTACGGCACTCAACTGAGTTTATTCTTATAAGTTCTACTTGGCTTATTAAGGTGTATGCAATATGACATGACATCGCATAAAGCATAAATATGCATATATAACATGTGTAACATTTTCTTTAAAATCTATTCATGCTGTAGGTGAGATTCCTACTTACCTGATTTACAGAGCTGGAATCCACTATTCGCCAAACAGCCCATTCTCTTACTTGCTTACTTCTGAAAATAAATACCCATTGAGAGTGTAAGATTAACTGTCGTTTGCTATTCTATTTTAACAGCTTATGAAGGAAATCTAATCCTTTACTTAAGGCATGTATTCTTTTCCTTTATTGAATGATAATTTACTATAAGGACAAATTTATTAAATCCTTAAAATTTTATTTTCCTTAATTGCCCTTAATATACATATGCCTAGATTGAAAAGCAATTATCTAATGTAACTGCTAATTCTCCCTAAATTTTCTTATTGGGCTTATTCTGATATTAAAGCCCAATTCGGCCTAGAAACTTAATAACGACATTCTAACTCTTAGACCGTTGAATGTTAGACTTAAGCAGGGTCTCTTGAATTAATGTGGGTGTTGGATCCATATCTAATCTTTGTAATTTTAAGGACCTAACCCATTTGGCTTGTAAGTTTCCGTTCGGATGTTTTTGCTCGAAAACTGTTGAGTTTTTAAAAGAAACTATTATTCAATTTTCATAAAATTGATTGCTCATTTATCTAGTTACAAGTACTAAAATCCCATTATAAATTCTCTTTCGAATACCGACTTTTGAAACTATTCCACAAGTCATTTTACGGTTAGTTTGTAAACCACCGTGAAACTATATTTTAGAAACTTTTTTTTTAAATCTTTCTTCATGACTGTTCTTCATTAAAGTGAGGTCTAAATCTGTAGTATTTTACTAAAATCACATCTTAAGTTATTTGATAACTTTTGTTAAAAACCAAAACTGTGTTAGTAAACTGTGCAGTTTCTGATATCTTCATTTTACTGCATCTTAGAGTCGGATTTTAAAAATATGTTCTTCACGGGAAATCTTTATCTCGTCAAGATCTAAAATTTTTGTTTTCGAAGAAAGATGAAATTTAGCCTCTAAAGGGGCTCGTTTGGCTGCCACAGTGGCTGCCAGTTTTTAAAGTTGTTTTTGGGACAGCTTTGAGGTATTTTTGAAAATGGTTTAAGACTTGTGTTTGGAGTTAAAATTGGGTTTATTCACAGTCACATAAAAATATTCAAAACATCAAGAATTATAAGTCTAAATTTAGAATAACTGAAAAATCACGCTCTAGGATCCTCATTTTCACATTCAAAGTAACCGGAAAATTTTACCTCTAACCCAAAATAAGCAAACTTAAACCAAGCATAAACATACCACATAATACTAATCAAAGTAACCTCAAAACACACAAAACTAACATAAAACTCACACACCCTTATTACAAACTTATTTTCTCAAGAGCTACAAATTACATCCATGATTTACAACTTAAACTTTGGTTGAAAAATAGAGGAAGTGTTTAGAGTTTATACCCCTGAAGAAGATTCTTGGTTAGGCTCATCCTAAAACACTTTGATCACCTTTTTCTTCCTCTAAGGTTTGTTAATGACTTGGAATTAGAAAAGTGGAAAAATTTGATAAGAGCATGTCTAAATCCTAAATTTTGTTAGAAACAAGAAAGAGAAGGTTTATAGTTTTACCCTTGAAGAAAATCCTTAGCTAGACACACACCTTGGTCCTTTTCTTTTTCTTGAGATCCTAGACTAGTGCTTTATGTTTAGAAGGATGAGTGAAAATTTTTGAGAGGGTACAAGAGAGGAGTGTGACTGGTTGTGGTATAGAGAAAGGGGGGAAATAGAGCAAACGTGAGGCCTGGATTAAGATGGTTCTATTTATGGATAATTGAGTAATTATGTTCAACTCTTTAATCACCTTACTTATTTAACTAAAATTGTGTTACAACTCTTTTGATCATGGCCGGCCAAGTGAAAGAAAGGAGAGGGAAAAGAAAATATCATGATTACTCTTCATTTACCCCATCAAATCACATCTCATCCAACCAAATCTTAACCTACTATTGTACATTTATCTCATCTCTTAAGTTTCTCTTAAAATAGATAAAAGTTATACTGACTGTAAGGAAGTAACTTAGCCGACAGGAAGTTTTAGTTTCTGACGGTTCCTTTTCTACTGCTTATTTACATTTCAATATTAGTTCCCGACTACTTCGATATCACATTAAATTCTTACTCGTGATATTTCGAACTGTTTTAAGTCTTGAAATTTGTTCTAGACTAAACAAATTCTAAACTTAAATTTTCTACATTATATCCCGGGAATGACATTGTTATCGACGGTGTCAACTCCCGAGCTCACATTGTACCCTTCTACTATAAGTATTTTTCTCGTGACTTCAACCTAACTGTTTGGCAATTAAGGATTTTTTTTTAAATGTTAGAGCCTTTTTTTGTACGCTACTAACATCGTATTGTGCTCAGAGATTCTTAGAATTAAGATTCTCAAACTGTATATGTACTGAAAATTCTTCTGCCTTAAATTACGATGAAAATTTATCGATCGAATTTATTTAATCGTAAAACATGAACTTAACATGAAATCTGCTATAGAGTTTAGGAACACTGATATTAATTCTATAAATCCTTCAGTCACAAAATATAGTATAATATTTTTCAAGAAAAATTCTTGACTTAAATACATAAATTGTATTATTTAAATTATGGGATTTTCTTGGCCATTACAAAACTAACCTATTTTATAATTAAAAAAAGTAAAAATATTAATTTTTTCAAAGAGTGAAAATTTTGAACAGGAAACAAAAATAAAAACTATCAAGACACAAAGAATAAGGAAACGCAATCGGAATTAATCTAAAATTCGTAGGTCAACTTGTAACAAAAAATGAAAATTACTAGAAAAAGGGAAAAGGGGATTTTTTGAAAGCCTAAACAATGAAGTTTGGCTGACAAACGTCACACATCGTGATAAAGTAAGGAGTCTTGTCCATTAACTCGTTACCTCTAAAAAGACACATATTTTCCGTCTATATTTGACACCGTGAGAAGGGCTTATTCTGAATTGTCTCGTATATTTGACTTTGTGGTGATCTTAACGCACTTTGGAGGATGAAGATAGGGGCAGTTTAGTCCATCAAGGTTCATAGATAAAGAGAAGGAAAGCTTGAATAAAGGTCACAGCGCCATAGCCTAGGAGATGAAACTTGAGAGAAGGTGTAATTTCCATGAAATTTGGTTATCCCAAATTATTATTGTACCTTTCTAAATTCTAACCTTAGTCTTACGTTAAATAAATGTCGTTCTACACTTGACAAAGATACACACATATATGTAATATTTTTGTTGCTATTTTTATTTATTTATTTATACTTTAGAAATTGTTGATGTTGAATTATTGTAATGCTTTATTTTTAGTTATTAGTAAGCGTTGTTTGTGGATTCTAATGTTTACATGATGGATTCTAATGCTTTTTTTTATAGTATGTTTTTTTAAAGTGTTTTTTTATAGTATGTTTTATATCTCCTTTCTTTATATTATAATATCTTGTTCTATTAGCAAAAATAGCCTTTAATTAGGAGCTCAAATTTTGACGCTCAAGTACAAGTCCAAACTGTAGAAACCAGTACGATTCTTTTGGTTTGGTTTG